ATTATATGAAATTTATCGTCAAATTAGTTTCCATACAACCCCCAGTGCTCATTCCAAAAGATGCCCTCGTCAGTGCCCATCACCCCCCCTCCCCTCCCATCAACCCTCAGTTTGTTCTCAGTTTTTAAGAGTCTCTTATGCTTTGGCTCTCTCTCCCACTCTAACCTCTTTTTTTTCTGTTTTCTCCTTTCTCTCCCCCATGGGTTTCTGTTAAGTTTCTCAGGATCCACAGAAGAGTGAAAACATATGGTATCTGTCTTTCTCTGTATGGCTTATTTGTGTTTATTTATTTTTGAGAGAGAGGCAGACAGACAAAGTGGGGGGGGGAGGGGCAAAGAGAGAGGGAGACCCAGAATCCGAAGCAGGCTCCAGGCCCTGAGCCATCAGCACAGAGCCCGACGTGGGCCTTGAACCCACGAACTGTGAGATCATGACCTAAGCGGAAGTTGGATACTTAACCAACTGAGCCACCCAGGAGCCTCACCCAGCACCATTTGTTGAAGAGACTGTCCTTCCCCAGTTAAGTGGTCTTGATACCATTGTCGAATATCATTTGACCTTCCACACATGAGTTCATTTCCGGGGTCTTCGTCCTGTTCCATTAATCTGTCTTTATGCCAGCACCACAGTGTTGATTCTGTAGCTTTGTAGTAAGTTTGAAATCAGGAAGCGTGTTCTTCTTTTTCAAGATGGTTTTGTTTGGGCTATTTGAGGTGCCTTGAGGTGTTGAATTTTGGGATGCTTTTTTCTATTTCTGCCAAAAATGCCATTGAGATTTTGATAGGGATTGCATTGAGTCTGTACATTGTTTCTACAAAATTGACATCTTAACATTATTAAGTCTTTGATCCATGAACATGGGATGTCTTTCTGTTTATTTGTGTCGTCTTTCCTTTTTTTCCCAGCAATTTCCAGTGTCCAGGTCTTTTGCCTCCTTGGTTAAATTTCTTCCTAAGTGGTTTAGTCTTTTTGATGCTCTTGTGAATGGCATGATTTTCTTAGTTTCCTTTTTGGATTGTTCTTTGTTGGTCTACGTTGGTTTTGACTGAGGTGACCTCTGACTGTAGGATCCACACCATATCCCCCTGTCCCAAGCGTGGGGCCGTCTCAGTTTCTCCATCCCTGCCCCCTGTCCCTCTGCGTGCTTCTGTGCCCATGTTGGGGGCCACAGGAAGCCCAAAGAGTCTTGAGTTCTGCCTGTCGCATCGTGCAGCTGCCTTTGCTCTTGAGTGTTGGTGCCTCGGTAGGACAAGGACCTCTGAGAGCCTGGGGTCTCCAGCAGGAGTGGGCAGGTCTCCCATGATGTCTGGGGCTCTAGCACCTACCTCCCCGGAGGGCAGCCTAACGAGGGAGACGAGGGGGCCATGGGGCCTGGGCTCTTCACAGGCACTCCTCTCCTTCAGACTCTTGTCCCTGATGAGGCATCAGACTCAGCCAACATTCTTCCCCAGTTCTTTTGGTCTCCCATCAGTGTAGCTATTTTAAACATAGAAGGGAATGGGGCACCTGGCTGGCTCAGTGTTTGGAGCATCTGACTTTGGTTCAGGTCATGATCTTACAGTGTGTGAGTTCGAGCCCCGCATCGAGCTCACCGCTGTCAGCACAGATTCTGCTTCAGATCTTCTGTCCCCCTCTCTCTCTGCCCCTCCCCTGCTTGCACTCTGTCTCAAACATCAATATACATTAAGAAAATAAATAACGTAAAAGGTTGAAGGCTCTACCGCCTGTTCCCGCAGAAGTTTCCTCTCGGGGCAGAGGTCTGGGCTGCTTCTAGGCCTGAAAGCCAGTGAGTCGGGATGAAAGGAAAGCCGGGCATGGGGCTGCCTCATCACCTGGCTGCCTCCCTTCCCGGCTGCCCCCACCTCGGGCTCTTGGGCCAATGGAGGAGGACCCAGAATTGGGGTTAGATCTCAGTGTGGTCCTGGGACCACCAAGTCCAAACTGTGTCATGACAATGCTAAGACACTCTTTGCCCTTTTCATTCTCCTCACATGAGTGGTGTGAGCTAGAATTTTCCAGAAGCTGCATGACGCAGCATCACAAGGCATCGAATGTGAAAGGTCGGAGAATCCCGCTGTCTTCTGCGAGACTATGCGTTCTGTTAAAGAGAGTTACAGAAATGTCACTAAGTGCCACTCTTTTCATTAAAATATAGTCGTTTTCTGGGCACCTGGGTGGCTCGGTCAATGGAGCATATGACTCTTGATCTCAGGGTCGTGAGTTTGAGCTTCATGTTTGGTGTAGAGATTACTTAATAAATAAAGCTTTAAAAAAATAAAATATAGTCATTTTCATAAATACATTATTTATGATTTTTAAATTTTTTGTTTATTTGTTTTTGAGACAGAGCATGAGTGGGGGAGGGACAGAAAGAGGGAGACACAGAATCGGAAGCAGGCTCCAGGCTCTGAGCCGTCAGCCCAGAGCCCGACGCGGGGCTCGAACTCACGGACCGTGAGATCATGACCTGAGCTGAAGTCGGACGCTTAACCGACTGAGCCACCCAGGCACCCCTATGTTACTGTTATTTTAAAAGGAACTGATAATGTCATTAAGTTAAAAGGAGGCTCAGGTGTAATTTCTAAATAGGACAGAATTATTCTACATTACAGAAGGCCTTTGGAGTCCTCAGTAACGCTCGTGAGCACACAGGAGGCCCGAACCAAAAGGTCAGGAGGGCCACCGCTCCCTTCTGGTGGCTTTTGGTTCAACTGTCCTTGGACCACATGCCCTTCTGGCCTCTCCAGGGCCTCCCTCTGCCTTGACCTTCCCGTTCTGCTAGCTCCCGGTCACAGTGGCCACACGAGGGCAGCAGGCTTCCAGGAGCCACCGTGGGGCCCTCCAGGCGGGTTTACCAGGCCTCGCCTGCGGCACCGGGTTTCTGTCCAGTCTCTGGCCGCCAGTGCCGGAGAAGCAAAGATGATAAACCCACGTCGTGGCCCGCGGGAGGCTCAGGCCCTCAAGCGCCCCCTGCCGTGAGCTGGGGAGCCAGCAGACGACTGCGCGTCTGAAACAGTCACAGGGTGCAGGCCAGAGCGGGGCCACACGGCAGGGTGGACGCCTTCAGCGCACGAACCTCGACGTCCTGCGTAGCTGAGCCGAGACGCCAGTTCTCCAGAGGCTCAGCCTTCACCTGTGAGGATTCGTTCTCACGGCCCTGCCTGGAAAGGAGCCCCTCGTTACCAAGCAGGGGTGCGGCGAGGGGAGCCAGGGAGCAGAGGAATCCCACCAAACGCTTGACGTGGTCTGGGATGAAGCGGGCGGTTAAGGGGCAAATGTGGCGTCTTACCCAGAACTGGGGCCTCACTGCTCATCGGCCGTGGACGTCTCTAGCGGTGGGAAAGAAAGCCTGTGGCCCTAGACGACCCTCTCCCTTCCTCTTAGCCCTCGGTCCCAGTGACCGCTCCTCACGACCTGAAAGCGACCTGGCAGGGACAGCTGGCTCGGATGCCGGTCAGGACAAAGGTCGTGCCATCTAAAATTGCAGGACAAGTCTTCGGGTCCCGAGACTCCTGGCTGCTGAGCCGTGTTACTTCCCTCTTACCTATAATGCCAGCCCCACGCTGGCTTTCTTCTCTAAGTGTTCATCATCAGTCCAGTGATAGACAAAAAATCAGTTTTTGCTCACGTACTGTCTCGGAGTTTAGAGTAGGGCTTTGAAGGAGCAGGCTGGGGATATTCCTGGTTCCGCCACGTGTTAGCTCTGTGACCTTGGGCCGACTGGCTTCCCTTCAGTCTCAGTATCTCAAGTGTAACAAAGGGACGCTGGGTGATGTCTGAGGTGGCTGTGAGAATCCTGTGGCTTTAGGTCTCTAAAGTGCTTATGGGGCACCTGGATGGCTCAGTCGGTTGAGCGTCCGACTTCAGCTCAGGTCATGATCTCATGGTGCGTGGGTTCGAGCCCCGCGTCGGGCTCTGGGCTGACGGCTCGGAGCCTGGAGCCTGCTTCCGATTCTGTGTTTCCCTCTCTGTCTGCCCCTCCCCTGCTGATGCTCTGTCAATCTCTCTCTCAAAGAATAAACATTAAAAAAATAAAAATAAAGTGCTTAAACGAGTGCCTGACTCGTGGCAAATGCTCAATAAACGGTAACGTGTTAAACATCACTGCATTTGAAATGCATGACGTTTTCAGATGCCAGAGTCAGAAAGAATCTCAAAAGTCGTCTGATTCGGTGTTTTTTTCTTCTCTCAGGATGTTCCATGAGAAAGGGCTCTGTGGCCAAGCATGACAGGGCATTTAAAATTCAAGGTAGTATATGAAGGGCGCAGAGAAGTCACGGGGTCAAGAAACCGTTCAACTTGGACTGTCACGACGTTGGTCAGACTGATCGACCACGGAACCCTCTCCACATGTCCCCTCTGGACTCCGGGGCTGCTGGTGTCGGTACAACACCTGCTAACCACACAGCAGATGGTCCTGTGACTCTTCCCCTTAGTGACCGTGGACATTCTGCGGGGACATCGGGCCACAAGGCACTTGGTCCCCATGGACACTCACCGCAGATAACAGCAGTGGGGGAAGGTTTGCCTTGTGCCGGATGCTGTCATAAACACTAAACGCGCGTTATCTTCGTTCTTAGAATAACATTACGAGAGAGTCCTTATCTCCTTCCACGGGTGAAGAAACTGAGGCTTAGAAGAGCCATGTAACACTTGCCCGAGGTCACGTGGCTGGAAAGCACCAGAATGCAAACTCCGGTCGTCTGACTTTGGGATCCCCACCAGCCTGGGCTGCTTCCTGCGGCCACTGCATCACCTCTAACTGTTGGAAGGTCCTTCCTTGTCTTGAGCCGAAGTCCATTCCCAGCCACGCCCCTTTCTCCCAGGCGCACCCGACAGCGATTTCAGTTCTGACACCCTCTGCCTGTTGTTTCGAGAGCTTTATCCAGTCCGCTCCTTTTTCTCTTTTAGGTACGTGAGCATCCCTTTTGGATAGAGACCCAACTGAACACGACTCCGTCTACTCCACTATAATACGATGGTTACGCTTTTAGGATATCACCTGGTGTCAAGAAACGTAACTTTTGGGGTGCCTGGGGGGCTCAGTCGGTTAAGCGGCCAACTTTGGCTCAGGTCACGATCTCGCGGTCCGTGAGTTCGAGCCCCACGTCGGGCTCTGTGCTGACCGCTCAGAGCCTGGAGCCTGTTTCCGATTCTGTGTCTCCCTCTCTCTCTGACCCTCCCCCGTTCATGATCTGTCTCTCTCTGTCCCAAAAATAAATAAACGTTAAAAAAAAAATAAAAAAAAAAATAAAAAAGAAACGTAACTTTTTTTCCAGGGAGTTCTTGGCCAATACAGGAGCTTTTTTTTTTTTAGACAAGGTTAAGGGATAAAAAGTTTTCGATGTACAATGCCAAAATCTTTCCATCAAGAATTTTGATCACGGGGTTGCCTGGGTGGCTCAGTCAGCCGTCTGACTCTGGCTCAGGTCATGAGCTCAGGGTTCCTGAGTTCGAGCCCCACTTCAGGCTCTGTGCTGACACCCTCCCTTCTCTTTCTCTCTCCCTGCTCCTCGTGGGATTCTGTCTTTCTCCCTCCCTCTCTGCCCCTCGCTCACCCCACCAGAGCCCTCTCTCTCTCTCAGAAAAAAAAAAAAAGAATTTTGCTCACAGCTGTTTTTCATAGCCCCAGGGATATTGCTCTGGGAACTTCAGCCACACTTGATGGCCCCAGCTTCTGCTCTCTGCTCCCCTCCCTCCAAGCACCGTTCCCAGTTTCTTACCAGGCTCACCATTTCTACCCTTGTGACTCATTGTTTGGTAAACAAGGCACAAAGCCAGGAAAACCTAGCAGCCGGCTGTTCCTAACAGCCTCCCAGGCGCTGTGCTGGTCCCAGCTGTGATCTGCTTATAACCGATGGTGGTGCCTAGTGAGGCAAATTGCTTTTTTACTATTGAATCGATTTCCTTAGAGCCCCTTGTAGTTCTGAAAACCCCACTGAAGAACACTGGGACTCTGACTGGACCAGTGTAGCTTGGAAGGATCGCTCTCTTGTTCCGAGCCCTGTACTTCATTAATTCAGCTCAAGAGCTCAGGTTTTGGGGCCCTGCATTACCCAGAGATACATGTGGAGCTTGTTTTCAACCAGAATTAATTCCTCCCCGATTCCGCTATACCTCTGCAGGTGTATTTTGGAGCCCCCACTGAAGATGCTATGTTTACATTTATTCAAGTTCATTCGATTAGACCAGTATCGTTCTTCCAGCCTCCGGTGATTGTCTGGGAGGCTGATGATGAAGGAGAAGCCTGGTGTCCTCTGTGAAACTGATCACTAGATGAGCATTTCCCAACAGAATGTTCCATGGCGATGGAAATGCCATATAGCTCAGTGGTACACGATGGTACCTGTTGGTGGCTGTTGAACACCTGAACTGAGGCTGATGCAACTGAGGAGCTGAATTTTAAATTGTATTTAATTCTGAACAAATTTTCATAGTCACATACGGCTAGTGGATACCACAGTGGAGAGAGTACATCTAGATGTTTACCTGAGAACTGGGCAAAAACTCTGAGCAGACCACCCAACTCTAACCGACTGAGCCACCCAGGCGCCTCTATATACACATATTTTAAAGAAAATGGTTTTTTGGGTTTTTTTTTTCATACTTGTGGAAGGAATTCATGCCCGCTGTGGCGAAATGCAGGAGAGCACATAGAGGAAACGAACAATGACCAATAATCCTGCCGTCGGGGACAACTGCTGTTACTGTTTCAGCATATTGCCTTCATCTTTTTTCTGTGGGGATATCTTTCACATCGCTGAGAACATACGTTCTCTGACATTTGCATACTGGTGTTTTTCATCGACAGTGTTTTCTCAGATCGTTAAACATTCTTCCAAAACAGTCTTAACGGCTGTAGAGCAGTTCATTATATTAATGACTAATCATTTGTATGACCAGTCCCCCATGGCTGTACTTTTGGGTTGCGTCTAACTTTTTCTGTTATTGTAAATAAACCGACGGTCACGTCTTTTTGTCCAAAATAGCTCTGTGTATGATTTGCATTGATTTCTCCACACAGACTTCCTGCAGGAGTATCGTTAAGGCTAAGGATATGAACACTGTTGGTTCGTTTGTTTGTTTTAAGCTTATTTATTTATTTTGAGACAGAGAGCATGGGGCAGAGAGAGGGGGAGAGAGGGAGACTCCCAAGCAGGCTCTGGTGGCGCACGAATCATGACCCGAGCCAAAATCAAGAGCCGGATGCTTAACCGAACTGAGCCACCCAGGCACCCCATGGATATGGACACCTGTTAAGGCTAATTCTTTCAAGAGAGGACGGGAAGTTAGCCCAGACCCCGTGCCAGCTCTCCGCGGTTAATGCTTTCCCTTCTGAACGTTGGACACCGTTTGATTATCATCCCACATTAATGTCCAGTCCGCCAGTGTATGCTTCTTAGATTCCAGTTTCCTAGCCTTTATGAAAATCGGGGTGACGGGCTCCCCCGTCCTCCAGCAGCACCTCTTGTGTATTAAAGTTCCTGCAGGATGAAGTCAGCTTGTCGGTGGGGCCCGCCCCGTTCGTTCATCCGCTCGGTGCGGTCCTGCTACGTCCTTCTGTACTTGGAGCTTCAATTCTGGTCTTGCTGTCACTGTTCTTACACTTTCCACGCTGGTGATCTTTCCCCCTAATACGGGAAATGGAACGAGTGTGCGGCAGAGGCTGCTAACCGCTCGACAAAATCCGCGTTCATGCTTCTGAACGCACACCAGGACCACCTTCCCCAAGCTCCGGGGCCATTGGGGGCGCCGCATGGTTGAGCTCCAGCCAACTGCGCATGAGCGGAAGTGACGAACTGCTTCCGGGCCTGGCGCGTCAAAACCCACCCTGTGGGAGGGAGACGTCTCCCGGGGCAACGTGAGGAGGGCGGGCCAAGGAACCCCTATCTACAGTTGTGTTTGATCGTGGACCCTCTTTTCTCTTTTGCCCTCTTTGGGCTCGGTTGCGATTTATAACTTCATTTAGTCCTGCTTGAGCGGCCTTTCCTTTATTCTTGGATCATGAGATCAGCCCCACCTAAATGTCCTGGGGATTCTCCTTCCCACGTGTTGGCAACACGCTTGACCGTCCGGCGGGCCCTCCCCAGCTGCCCCCAGACTCCTGGGTCCCAGGGACCTTTCTTGCATTTCCCCTTGCAGACAGATGCCCCTGGTGGTGCAGAATTGGATCCGCAATGGTACTCCTCTGCACTTTCTCCGAGAAATTTTGGTGAGAGTTTAGCAGAAATTGTATTGCAGTTTCGGTAGGGTGATGAGAAGCCGTTGCGTGCCTGCTGCATAAGGAAGGTGGGTCTTGCTGGGAGGCGGGGGG